TCTTACTTAGAATACCTTTTAGTCAGTCACTTTGAGCGGTATTATTTTTCAAATCCGAGTGTGTCGTCGTCGTGTGGGGTCCAAAGGAGCCGCTGTCCGTCGGCACTTAAAACACACGTGAACCGAAAAAATAGCATTACTTATGCGCTGGTGACACCAATAATCAATTATTGAATACCAAATTGTACGCCGCCGCTGTCTGCGGAGGAATATTTTTTATGGGGGCTCCGGCGTTTGTCTCGATCGCTCGCCGGCCGCCGACTTGTTTGTCATCGCGCTCCTCTGCTTTTTGTGCCTCTCTCTTTCTATCGACAACAAACACGTACATCATCAGCGGCGCTCAGCATCTTGACGAGTGTTGGAAACTGGTTTCCTCTATTTGAATGTCAATAATCAATCACGAATTCTTATGCACGGCTTGAATATCAATTGCCCGTCCTGGGAAAATAAATTCAATTTGAACTGGGAGGGAGTTGGCTCGTTTTGAAACAAAAAAGGGCACAAGGGATCGCTGTTTGAAATTTCCTGACGGCTTGAAAGGTGAATTTGTCATTTTAGTGATCAAGAGATAATACGATGCTGCTGTGTACGGAGCCTTGCAATATTCACAATTATATGGCTGAATTGCGCTCAGTGAAACTTTTTGTTGTTAACTATTTGAACAAGATTTAAAAAAAAAATACTATTTCTCTTTATTAATTGAGGCACTGAAAACTCTTCACGTGTGCAACCTGTTCAAAAATGAAAATTATGTTTTATCCCATTGGCTATTGAGCTGCTGGATACAAAATAAATATATTAATTGGGGCGCGGTTCCTGTTTTGACCATAACAATCCTCTTTGTTGGTGCATGGGCAGTGTTTCGAAGGTTGTGCGTTTTCATTTCCTGCCAAGTTATGGTTTGTTGCTGTTCCCAGCCTTGCAAATTTTCCAACTTTTTCGACACGTGCGTTCAAGGACTCGTTAATATGTTGATAGTTTTTGGAAGATCAGAAATTTGAAAGCGAAAATGTGCATTTTTTCAAATTTTATTTTGTTAAAAAAGTGATTGATATCTAGAAACTTTCTTTTTAAATTTTATTTATTGTATATCACTTATTTTTTCTGGGAAAAATTGATACAAATGCTTGGAAATTAAAAAAAAACCTCTCTTTTTATTCTCCTATAATTTATTTTTGCTTTAAGTATTTATTTTTTTATTTTTATAATAAATGATGAAGTTTCTTTAGCACATTTAATTTGATTTTTCAGCCCATTTTTGCAAATTTTCACATCCCTTAAAATTTAAAATACAAATTACATTGTAACTTAATTTACTTCATTTTAATAATTCAAAAATATTTATAATCATTTGCAATAGAGACTGAAATTAACTGTACACTGCTTTGTTTAATAAATGGCTGTCTCCTCAATTAAAAAATAATCAAATTAATTATTATAAAACAATTATATTTCATTCAAGTAATGTACCATTCAATATTTATTATTGAAATTGAACCTATTCCATTTATGATTGATTTTATTTAGTTTTTCCAACAGCATGTGCCAATTTCAGGCAAAACCGTCGTCCATCCGGAGGCGGCCATCATCGTCAGATCGGCCACTGAACTGCTCATTTACTGTACACACTGCGCCGTATGTATTGTGGCCGGTGTGAGTGATGTTTCGAAATTAGAGGTGTCAATCAAAAGTGGCTGCGCGACGGCTGATCGGCCGCCCCCGGCAACACCTGACGGACGGACCAAATCTGACAAAGCGCCGGGCGTGATTTACTCTGATGGGGCCCCCCGAACAAATCCTCGAATTTATTTGAGGTGCTCCTCTCTCGTACATCATTCGAATATGACCTGTAGATGACGAGCATAATAACCGATTTATAATAAAGCGAGGCCTGGCGTAGCTCTCGGCCTATTATTAACCTGCCATATGTGCGCCTCGATGTCGACCAAGTTGAGTGATGTTTTTCTGATGAGGGGCGGAGTATGGAAAAAATTAAACATTTAAACGCTTTTTAATATCAAAAGAAAAATATCGTTCCGATCGTTCGCTCTCTGCTCTCGGCCTCGACAACTTGTCTGTGTTTGATTTGCTGGAATCCGGTGTAATTATAATGCCGCGGCTTTTGGGGCTCATTTCGCCTCCTACGCTGATTTTTAGCCTCAAATCGCCAAAGGTGAAACAACTCTTGGATATCCACACGATTTTTTTTTCATATTCAAAATGTTTGACTGACGTGAACATTAAACCTGCGAGCAAAGCATTAATTAATATTTATTGGCCGCAAACCTTTATTCAGTATCGGAAACTACCACACAAATACATAAAAAAAAATTGTGATATTTTTTTTTTATAATATTTTTCATAAATAATTTGTGAAAAAATGAAAAAATTGAAGAGATAAAAGTTTTCAATAATTATTAATTTTTTGAGTATATTGAACATAATTTTTATCTAATAAATTTATTTTAAATTAATGGTATTTTCATTCTCATGATTGTGAGATTCAAAGTCTGATGACTGCAAGTTCTCAATTGCAAAAGAAATACGAGTTTTTGCTCCTCCTTGTTGTGTCCATCGTTGACTGAATTGTAATTACCTAAGTGTCTGTCAATCAAACAATCAATCCTTCAATCAGCAACCGGTTGTTAGCGTCTCACTCATTTTGCAATTAAATAAATTCTGCCTTTTTAGTAGGAATGAGTATTGACAGCTAATTGTATTAATGAAAAGTTTTGCAATACCAAGACGAAACACCATTTTATTTTTTTCCTCTACAATTGAAATATGATTCCCAAGAATTTATTATATTTCAATGCCCAATTACTGTTATATCAGTTTGAAAATAAAATAAAAACTGTTGTTAACCGAAATTTTGTATGAAATATGATATTGATTTTATATTTTCAATGGTTATTTTTTACTTTCTTACGCACTTTCAACTTATGCTATCTGAAAAGCAACCAGTTGCGTTGGTAATTTATTTTATTGGAAACAATTGTGTCACTTGTCAAAGCAGATCAGGCAGCGACTCTCAATGCTGCGAAACCACTTTGATCTTTTCTCAGCGGTGGCCCAGCAGTTGAAGCTGCAGCAAATGAATGCACTTTTCTGTTGTCGCCCCTCATCTGCATGCAAGTGATGCCGCTGCATCGCTGTTTCAAGACTATATTTATATATACTATATACTATATTTATGTATTGATACATATAAAAAAATTATCGCATTTGTCATATAAACAAAATAAAAACATTTTATTTAAATAAATACCTATATTTGCATCATACGTAATCCATTTTTTATTATGCCAACTATTTGAAAAATGAAATCAAATAGAATTTTTAATTTATGATATCATAACACAAGATTGAATAGAAATATGATAATATTCGAAAATTTTAATGTATATTTGGTATATTTAATGTATTAATAAAAGGATTAAGTCCCGAAATGTTTGCCATCAATTTCATATAAATTTCATATATAATTGCCAACAGTAATTTATGCCATATTGAAACACCTGTAATAATCAGTAGGAAATCCAACTAAAGGTACGATTATGAGATCCCACTACTTTTACAATCAGCCAGCAATGGCACTCCCTGCCCCTGTACCAAAACATTATGCGGAATCCAATCCTTTTATTATTGCCTTTAATACTATTAAACTTTAATTTTCAATATTTTTACGGCCGGGCTTGCAGCCGTAAAAGCATGACTTGGCGGATACGGCGAGAGAGTACAATAAAAAATTATTACAACTCTCGCACAGAGGTGGGCGAGGAGCTTCGCTTACATAAAAGCAGGGCTTTGTCTCCAACCTGTGTAGCATAGTGGCCAGTAGAAGGAAAGAATAAAATCGAGTGTGTGGTAGGTATGGGATTATTTATTACACCACCGGCTGCACTCTCAATCATTTCTGCTCACATGTCCACCTCTGAAATAAAAAGAATAAATTTTTACATGCAATAAAACAATAAATATACTGCTCTGAGTGTCTCTTCGCATTGTATGGATATATCTGGACCTATTTATTATTTGCCACGGTAGTCCCTCTACATCATCTTCGTATTTATTTATTTATTTATTTGTCGGTGCCTTTCAGTCCTATTTTTCATTTATAATTTTTTACGCAGAAATAAACCGAGGAAAATCATTCCAGCCTCATGAATTAATTATATAAAATCGCCAAAGCTGCGGCGCGACCTCCCGCCGAGCTGGCCCAGTTTTTTTTCCACCACATTTTGGGCGCACACTTTTTGCCCTGCGACAATGGCAACCCGTGGAATTATTTACCCCCCACAAAGGGGCATTGTTTCAAATTGAAATGTCATCTTTCGCCGACACGTAAAATATCTCAATCAATATCAGTCGCTTTTTGCAACGCTGCCTGAGCAGACATTAAAATTAATCTTTTATATGTCCAAATGTTAAGTCATTTGGTATCACAAATTCCTATTGTGATTAATTTTTTTTATTATTTTATAAATTTGTTATATTTTATTTAAAATATAAGTTTGTTGGTCAATATTAAAAAAAAAATGTTTTGATGTCTTTTCAAAATCAATCAAGACATTGAAGTTACAATGTTATATTTTAATCAAATAATGCAGATATTTACGACAAAAAAGAAAATAGAATTAAAGCACACCTGTCAATTTTTCCTAAAAATATTTTAAAATTTTGATTATGCTCAAATAATTAAAAATTTTCAATTGACAATTTTTTTTAATTTTGCAAAACTTTTAAACAATTAATTTACAATTTTGGCGTATTTAATTTTCTGCTCACATTTTGAGAGATGTAGCAACACAAAGTTTTGCACGACGAATCCGGTTGCCGATTTTCCAGCGCAAAACAAAACAAGTTCTATGAAGTCCTTGGCCTGTAAAACATCCCATGGTGCAAAGCGCTTAATAGATTGCAACATTTTTAATTGTTGTGAAAGTTTCAAACAGTTTCGTAAAAGCTTCAGAGCAAAAATCGGAAATCCGGCGGCGCGACTTAGCTATTCAAATTTCACATCATGGGAAGAATTTCAGTATAAAAGGGCATGCACCGATAGAAATTTTCAGACCAATGTACCGCTCATACACGTTTGTAAGTATACTTGACAGATATATTAATAATGCTCCAAGCATTTGTTAAAAAACATTTCTTATTTATTGATTAACAATTTGCTTTAAAAAACTTGATGCATAAATTTTCGCCACTATGTATCTGTCTTTCAACGATATTAGAAAGCCCAAATTCAATTTATAAATGATTATATAAGGGTACGATACGATTTTACTGTATTCTATTATGGTTGAAAAATAATTAGCTCTAGAATTTTGTTTTAGTTCAGATTGTTTGCAAAATAATTAATTCTATTACATTTATCCACATTAAACCTTTTAATTATCAAGCTCACTTAAGGAATATCAAATAATTTTTAGTAAAATGTCTTGTTAATTAATTGCTGTGGTTGCCTCTGTGATGGACTGATAGGTCAAAAATGCCACTAAAGTATCATAAATCATAATATATGATTGTTGAATAAGCGGAAAGAATTTCTCTAATATTATGACCAAATGATTATCAGTTCATTATGAAGCCTGTAGTTACATTATTTTTTTTCATGCTGCTTATATGGATTATACCATAACCTTATGGAAAGTTAAAACCTGTTGGATTTTTCAGAAATGACAATAACATGCAAGATTAATTAAGAACAAAACGCATAAATTTTTTTGCCAATTTTAAATGGAATTTATTCTGCTATGTAACTGATTTTACTCATTTGACTAAAAAATTGTCAATATTAGCAATATGAGTTGAAGTTTTTCTTTTAAGAAATAAAATGTTGTACAACTAAAAAAATTTCTGAATTAAAATACAGTTTGAGCTATTGGACATTTATAAAATTTAAGGAATTCGAAGCAATTGGGAGTTCACCGACAGACATCACATTATTCACCCAAAAAAGCATTTACTGGACCAACAGTCCAAGAATGATGAAGTTTCTTCTACTGCTTGTAGCAATATGCGCTGTGGTAACACATTTTTTATTTGTTTACAAAAAAAATTAACGCATATTTCAATTGCTAAATGTTCCCAGGTTTTAGCCCAAAAACCTAAAAAGGAAGTAATAAAGCCAAAGCTGCCAACAGTCGACACTCGTGCCGGGGCAAAACCACCAAATGGGATCGGTGCTCAAATTGTTGGAGGAACAAACGTTGTTCTCGGACAGATTCCTTACCAGGCATTCATTTTGGGAGATGGTACAAACTTATGTGGTGGTACTCTGATCAGCAATACTTACGTTGTGACCTCTGCGGCCTGCGTTTCTGGGTAAGTTAAAGAGGACGGGTATATTTTACCAAATCTATATCGGATTTAACTTATCATTTATTATTTTAGTCGCACAAGCTTCAAAGTGTGCGTGGGTACATTGGACTGGACAAACCCTTCCAGTACCACGGGCAGCCAGTGTTTCACCTCCCAGAGTGCAATTGTGTTCCCAGGTTACAACCCATCAACCGCAGAAAACAACATAGGCCTCATCAAGCTGCCCTCGGCAGTTCAAACGAGCAGTAATAATAGCATAAAACACTTCTGACTTGAGGACATTTTCTTTGATTAAAAAATACGCTATTAATTTTCCAATTAATCCCTTTGACAAAAACGAGCCATTTCCATTTTTTTTAAACAGAATTCAAGATTGTCAAATTTCTCACTCGAAACTCTCAATGTTAAACTTAGACACAATCAAAGTGGCTCGTCTGCCAAAACTCTCTGACCTTGTAAACGGCGTGACGTACGCTGCACAACAGGCTACCGCTTCAGGCTGGGGAAAAACTTCGGGTAAAGAGAACTTGGATAAATTTGCACTGTAACGGAAAATTGGACCGTTTTTCTAGACACAAGTGGTGCAAGTCAATTCCTGAAGTTCGCACAGATGCCAGTGATTACCAATTCTGTGTGTACCAGTTACAAATATTACACCCCCACCATTAACTCTCAATTGTGCACAAGTGGTACTGGAGGCAAATCCATTTGTTACGTAAAAAGATTATAGTATTTATCTTAGCCACCTTCTTTATTCTTTTTTTTTAAGGGAGATAACGGCGGCCCTTTGACGATCTTGGAAACTGATGGAAAACCAACTCTTATAGGAATTGCCTCTCACGTTGGCTTTGCTGGTTGCGCGTCTGGTTACCCACAAGTCTTCACCAGAGTCACCTATTTCATGCAATGGATCGCCAGCAACGCTGGTGTAACCCTGAGGCCTTAATAAATTCGATGACTAGAAAATTGCAATTAAATTTTTGGTTTTTGCGTGAAAATAAATTTAAAAACAGCATCTTTTAGACCTACTTTATCTCATTAAATATACCTGAATCAAACGCAATACTTTGGAAGTTGTCTCAACTTTATTGCTCTCATTGTTGCTGGTAAATAAAATCTTAATACAGAACTTCTCACTAACTTATGCTTGCCTAAAAATTATAAAAAGCAGTAAAATCAAACTTATAGCATATGATCAATCTAGTTGATAAAAAAGATGACGTGACTATAATTGTGGCAATGAAACATATATTCATATATTTACTAGAATTGTGAGTCATTAAATTAATTTATTGAGTATCTGTATATTTTTTTTAGTAAATATTTTTTATTGATGAAAGACAGACGAAAACGCAAAATTAATAACTTATGAATACTTGTTTTACTTGAGTGATCTGGGTGAAATTATATTTTTGTTATGGAGAGTAGCGAAATTTATCTAATAATATGATATATTCCAATAAATTCTTCAATTTTTTTTCTTTTTTTTTTTTCAAATTCTTTAAATCGGCAAGAAAAACATCGACCGGTTTTGTCTTTCGTGAGCGTCTCTCTTTTTAAAATATAATTCAATAAGCCACCGTAGTATAGTCGACTAAAATATTATCCATTTTTTAAGTTCATAATCGAATTTTTATTCTTGTCTACTTATAACTTACTCTTTTAATCCACTATTAAACCAAATGCAACAACACGACTCTCTCACAATAATACCATTAGCACGGTCGGCAATTTGTAAATAATAATATTTAAATATAGAATGATTGGAACTCACATAAAAATGCAGGGCAAGCCAATTTAGGGTGAAATAATGGTGAATAATCCCACTAATACTAATTATTGTATATATTTTTCTAATGAGTAATAATATTTTATTTTCAAATATTGTTTTACACTGTTGTAAAATGGTAGCGTAAAATAAAAAACTTTTGACTGAATAAATTATGTACTTCAGCAATATAAATGCCTGATAATGTAACGTAAAAGAAACTTTACAACTAAACTTTGAAGGCTACACTTAAAAATTCAAAATGTAAAAATTTACTTCTAGAAAAAAATTTTCGTCAACAAATTTTAGCAGTTCTTAAAATTTGCTGCACAAATAGACGGAGGTTGGGGGAACAACGTTTTCCATAAGTAACGAGAAGTCCCAGCGACCGAGTTCTGCAGATCAAAACAAAATCTAAATTGCCGCAAATTCTACAAAGTCCTTGGCCTGAAAAACAGATCCCACGGTTCAATAAAACATATGAAAAACAATATTTTCTACTCGTTGCAAATTTTCAACAACATACGTACGCGATAGTTTTCGGTCGAAAATCGGAAATCCGGCGCAATTTCGCTTGTGACGCACATGAAAATTAAAAACAAAACGTACTAGAGCGTGGAAAAATCAGTTTGCATTTTACTATATTGTAGTTCCTGAGGAAAAAGTGCGTCACAACTTTTAGCGATCGTTGTCCTTTTCATCTGCAACCTTAGAGCATCCTGTGCCATATCAGTATAAATTGGCATGCATCAACTTTAACTTTCAGAGGCAACTCACCAGAGAACCAAGCAACATGCGTACCGCCACCGTAGTAAGTAAAATTTTTTCAAAAATATTTCGAACCTTTATTTCAATGTGAATAAATTCAAAACTATCATGATAGTTATGGAATCATATAAGTGTTGAAATTTGATATCCAAATTCTAATTGAAAGTAGAATGAAACGGTTATATCCTTCTATGAAATATTGAATTTTTCTAGACATGCATAATATCTGGTTTGAATCTTTTAAATGCATGAAAGTAAGCTGTTTAAAAAGAAGGAAAAGTTATATCAAACTGAACTCTATATCTGAAATTTTTACACCTAAATGCAATGTCAACCATATATTTTGATATCATTATCATAAGATACAAATTTTTACTATATTCCATTAATTTCTTTATTAATTTCAGGTACTTTTCTTCACCGTCGCCCTTGTGGTGATCTGCACTCACGCTAAGGCAGAGCCTGAACCAGAACCGGAACCTGCTAAACAAAAAAATCTTGGCAATAAGAAATCTGGCCCTGATACATCTGGACCTGCTGCGGCTGCTGCGGCTTCTGACAAGAAACCCAACAATGAGCCGAGTGCAAAATCATCACCTAAGAAGGCGCCAAAGAGGAAATTAACCAAAGATTCAAGGAATAAGGGTGCTCCTCTCGCCAAAGGCTCGTCTGCTGATACCGCTAATAAGCAAGAGAAAAATCCCGCTAATACGCAAGAGAAAAAGCCCGCTGCTCTCGATGGCGCTGCTCCCGCTCCTCCTGCGGCCGCTGCTCCCGCTGCTCCCGCCGCTCCCCCGGCTGCTGGTGGAAACTAATAGCAAAAACTGCAAACATCTTGAATTTTGCTACATATTTTCAAAATAAAAATATATAGGTACCTATTAAAAAATATTACTTGTTTCATTATAAATCATTCTGATATTATATTTAAAGCGACCTATATAGACCAAACCTAGTTCGGGCTAATTTAAAACCCACCATGACATTTTGAAGGCTGTTTGTTTTAACCTGGACCACTTAAGTTGGGTTCATTACATTAACCATAATAAGTTAATCTTCTAACTGCTTCTAACTGAAATAAATGAATACAACTGTAGCGCTCAATTGAGCTTAATTGACTTAAGTCGCTTAGTCAAACGTAGTGAGCGCCAAGTTAAATTTAAATCCAAGTAAACTTGACCGGCGAGCTAATTTTGCCTTGCGGTCAGATTAGTATTTACTTAGTTAAGATTTAAGATCGTCCTCTTACAAATCATTCAGCCTGAGAAATATCATTTCCCACATTCAATATTCTTTTTTGCCTGAAATATTCTCAGCAATATATTTTATTTTAAGTCTATTAAACTTGTATTGTGAACAACAATAATGCTAATTAATGTGAGTAACAAGCAAAAAATTTCAGTTCTTAGTTAGGGGGCTTAAGAAATTACACACAAATTTACTTGAAAATTTGATTTGGTATTGTATCAAATTGATATGAGACTATTGAAATTGATATTGCATGAAAGGCAAAAGCAGGCATAAAGACATGGGCAGAATAATTGCCTCTGTGATATCAATAAATATAATTTTAAACTTATATTTAAATTAAATATTTAGAAAAAAAAATGGTGAGGAGGGTGATTTATTGATATAGAAGACAAAACCACTTGCAAAGATTTTTCGAAATCATTCTTGATCAAAAATAACCCATCCGTCGCGTATGTTGAAAACAAGTTATACAAAGTTACATAGCAGAAAAGCCTTCCCAAATTATTTTTATTCTTTGCAACAGAGAAATAATTGTTAATCACCAACAACTGCTACTGGTAAATATTAATTTTCACTTGTTTATACATTACTCTTATATATTTGCTAAACGCTATAATACTTTCGATTTAATTTAATTTTTGAAATTTGCTGCATTAAGTATATTTAAATAATTGAATTTATTGAATACACTTTTTATGATTATAAAACTTATGGAAAAATAATAAATATCTAAGACAAAGATTTTAAAATAAATTTAAAATTAATTATCGTTTTAATTAGAGAAACGTAAAAATTGTATAAATTAACAATTATTTTTTAGAATAGTAAAGTTATTTAATTATATAAACACTCCACTTAAATCTGCACAGCCCTTGATGATGATGAACGAAGGAATCAAACATTGGAATTAATTATTTTATCCCTGCAAGAGAAGGGAACTGCTCTTTGCTTATCTTTCTACTTTTCACCACCAATGATATATAAATTTATCGAGACGAAGCCCAAGATTCATTTGCATGCCGTGCTCAGAGCTGCAGACACATTGGAGTTGAAACTCAGGCTGGTATTATTTGACTTTGCGTTCGCGGGATTCATTAAAAGCGGGATACGTTTGCTTGCTTGCAATACCTGCTGAACAAGTTTGAATTTTAATAAGTCGTCAGTCAGCAGCTCTCTCTCTCCTTGTGCACTTTTTCGACAAGTCCAAACCGAAGCAAATTATTCCTCATTACGCAAATAAAGTGTGTGCTCAAGAGTTTGACGAAGAAGAAGTTCCACGCTATCAGCATATTAACTGCTCGCCGTCAATTGGATTAAGTCGGCAGAAAAGGGATTCCGCCCTTCAGAGCTTCGGCTCTTTTGACGTGAAATAATCGACGCATTATCTGTGCTGGCGCCGTCAATTATTTATTGAAATTCAAGACGTGTGCTTAAGAGATAAAGACAAAGTTGGGGACTTGCCAGAAATGGCTACAGTGGCAGCGCGTGGGTAAATGCAAATTTTATAACATGTTGGTTTCATTTTATTTTATTGATTGCTTAAACAATTAATTATGAATTCATAAAAAAAATTTATTTATTTATATTTTTAGTGTCTTAAAAAAATAACAAAGTTTAAGTTCAAAATTAAAAAGATTTCACTAATTTACTTCTACCCAAATTTCAAGAAAATAATAGGAGATAGTTTTATTCACATTTGCTAGTGTTAAACCATTCGATAGAAATTCTACCTAATGGGTAAGAATTTGCTTTTATTTAAGAATAGTTTTTTTCAATATACAACATACACAACGGTTGCTAATTGATTCATACCCTATAAAAAAATGTTTATAATCTTAAAAATCATCACTAAAATGTAATTAAAAACTATTTTATGATTAATCCTCGTGGCGGGTCTTGAAAGATTAGAAAATTAAATATGATGAAAATGCTTTTATTTCATTTTTTTCCCAAACCCAAACCCATACTTTTTCCAAATTTGAATTATATTTATTGCTCATAAACTGTTCAAAAAAGGTTTAATGTGATCCAATAAGTAATATAAAGGACATGAAATAGCTCCACAAATTCATCTTTAGCAAAATATCAAGGGAGAAAAGTGTGAAATCTCCCACCTTCTATACCAAATACGCGCTCTCGCATAAATAATTATCATTAATAAACAAGTCATTGGCGCGCGTGTTCACGTTGTTAAATCTTCGCCACCAGCAAAATCAAAAGGCTGTCAGCTCGTTT